AGGGCAACAACAGCCCCTACGCCGTTGTGAAGACCACCACCCCCCTGCACGTGGCCCACGCCACGGAGCAGGACCTCCTGAACAGGAAGCAGGTGGCACTGCCCCTGCCAGAGCCTGGCCGGGCCCTGGGGGCCACCTCTGCGGCTCCGGAGGACCTTGAGGGTGCCCTCAAAGGCACCCAGAGATTATTGACTGCACAGAGAGCACCGCGGCCTCCCCTGAGCCCCAAACCAAAACTGCCACCGAAGGTGACCAAATCCCACTCAGAGAGTAATTTCAATGCAGACTCTTGTCCCCCAGCACAGTTGCCCAAATCGGTGACATTTTAGCAGGGAAGAGGGGAGGGCAGGCAGAGGAGTCGGGTGCTGGAGCCAACACTGTTCGTTCTGAAAGCGTCCGCGCGGGAGGCCTGTGTCGGGCAAGGATGTGGCCTGCACGGAGCAGGGAGGCACCGGCGCGCCGAGCGTGCAGGGGAGCCTCGGCGCCACAGGAGCCGCAGCTGCAGCCACCGGGACACCATCAGCGCCCCGAGGCACTAAAGTGCAGTCTTGTTGTTCAGCCATGGTTTCTTTTCTATGGACAAATTGGGAAGTGCTTTTATTTTTGCCTATTCCCAGAAACTTTGAAAGCCCGTCTGCTCCGGAGGGAGAGATGAGGCTGGCTGGCTTGTTGCGCGGTTTGGCTTGCTGCCTGAGCCAGGCAGCCCTGGGCATGGAAGCAGGCGCAAGGCGTAGGGGTCTGTGATAGCAGAGAGGGTCTTTCTCTGCAAAGGATCATGCGCATGGCCAGCGGTGTTTCTTTTAAAGCCCTCTGTAGCAGTAGTGTTTCTCCTTTCAACATCACAGCAGGCAGCGGCCCTTCAGAGGGGGCCATGGAGGCTCCACACGGCGTGCGCCAGCCTGCTCAATAGTCTATGCAATTCCTGCAGAGCGCAGCTTGTGCTGCCGTGCTGGCCGTCCAGCTGCAGCGACCAGCCCCTGGGGGAAGGCCGGCGGCCCTGAGCTCCTCTGCTCCCAGCAGGTCTCTCACCTTGACCTCTGGGAGGGCTGCGGAGCGAGGCCGGCATGTGGCCTCCTCCTGGACAGCCTCTAGCGCCAGAGCACTGGTTGGTCGGATTTTTTCTTTTTTTTCCTGGAGTTCTCGAGGTGATGAGGACAGTGATGAAGGTTAAATCTGGTTTGTCAGGGAGGCTTCTGAGGGGCCTGTCAGGCGCCCTGTCCCCTGCAGATGGCAGGAGAGCGGGCGGGCTTGCTCCCTCGCCATCGATTGAAGAGGAGAGGAGGCAGCTCCTCGGTGGAGAGCCAAGCTGCACTCGGCTGCGCGCGGGGCTCTGCCCTTCCCTGGCGCGTGCCGGGCGTGCGGCGGTGCCTGACCACAGCGCCAAGCTGAAGCCACCTTCTGCTTTGAGCAACGGGTGCAAATGCTACGGGACATGATGAGGGCGAGCACGTTGCCCAGAACGTGCTCTTGGCCCTTCTGCTTTAGCGCTGCCTGGAACCAGCAGCCGTATCCAAGAAAGGAAACATGGGCACGGAGGTTGGAGCATGGGCGTTGCAGCAGCTCGCTGCCGAGGGGTGCCTGGACCTGCTTTCCCTTCATTTGTGGAAAGGCCTCCTCTTCCCCAGCATCCCTCGGGATCTCTGCCTCTGCCAGCTGTAGGTGTGCCCCTGAAAAAATGGTCCAAAGCTGTGTCCCCATTCCCTAGCGGGTGAAGAGACTTCATTAAGAGAGCATCTTGCTCAGAGCAGCAGGGAATAAACTCCTGCCCAGATGCTGCTCGCTGCACAAGCCGCCTGTTCCTCCCATTGCTGGAGGACCTGGGCCGTAGCTCACATAAGGTTTGAGGTGACTTTAAGAACTGGCTTTTGTCTCCTGGACTGATGCACACCCCGCCTGGGAGCCCTGAAGGAGGTTTCCTTCAAACCTCGGGAGGCCTGAAGGAGACTTGGCTAAATCCCTGGGGAGGCCGTGGGCTGTCTGTGCGCTTGTGCTGGTGCCCGCTGGTGGCAGCCGCGGGTGTCAAAGGCAGCAACCACTGTCCCTCGGGTGCAGCTGGCCAGAGCCCGGCTCCTGCTGCAACCCCTGCTCTGACCAGGTCCCGACGTGGGCCATGGAGGAGCCTCCAAACCTGCCTGTCCTTCCTGCCTGTGCGGGGAGCAGGGACAGTCCTAACTACCTCACAGGGGTGTGAGGAGCCGCGAGCTGCTGCTGGGGACGCGCTTTGAGGAGAAGTGCTGCACAGGTGCTCAGTGTTTGTATTTTGAGATGCCACAGGTCGCCCTAAAGGCAAAGGTGCTCAAGTGTTTTCAGTTTAGCATAGTTTTTTCCAGTGACCGTGCAGGAGTTGGACACGTGTGTGTGTTAGAGCACCTCAGTGGTGCTTCACACAGGTAGCAGTTGCCCTCAGCTAGGAAGCGAAGGGCGCCAAGAGCCCCCGGGCGGCTGCCGGGCTCCTCGGGGCTCGGCTGCTGCTGCTGCAGCTTCCTCCTCTCCGTGGGGCGCGCGGAGGATCCTGCGGACCCGGTGGGTATTCAGCCCCCACGGGCATGAGGGGAGCCCCCCTTTGCCCTCACTTCTGGCCGCCTTGCGCCTCTCCTTGGATCCCCAGCCAGGACGTGTCTAGGAGGTTTGGCAGCATTTACGTTCATAGGGGGATTTAATGTAATTTTAAAGAGCTGCCACATTATCCACTTGTCGGCAAGGCGCAGAGGGGGTTTCTGCCCTCTCTTGCTCTGGCGGGGATGGGCAGAGCGTCCCTGGGCAAAGGCGCCGCAGAGCCCCGGGAGCTGCAGCGCTGCTTTCCTGGGCACAGCCCCGGGCGGCTCCCACGGCCCCCTGTGCCCGTCCGCGCGTCTCTAGCCCCGCTCTCCTGCGGGCGCTGGCAGCAGAACGCACTGCACGGAGCCCTTGCAAGAGCAGCCCACTGCTCCTGGGCACGGATTCTCTGTCCTCTTCCCTCTCCCAGCAGCTCCAGAAAGGTCTCTGTGGCAGCAGGGGCCTCAGCCATTCCTCTGGGGCGAGGAAGGGAAGTCGAGCAGGAATCAGAGGGGTGACAGGGCAGTGGGACAAGAACCAGGCAAAGCCCCTTTTGCTCCTACACCAAATTCCTTAAAACAGCCTCAAGCTCATAGTAAAAGCCAGTGTTATTGCAAGTAAACTCAGGAAAACTGCTCCCCTGCCCCTTTGGCCTTGCAGTCCCAGATAGCTCTTACCTGGCTGACCAACCTGTTTAGTTTGACAGACAAATGTTGCGGGTTGTTTTTTGTTTTGTAACTGAGCACTTTGAGCAGCTGGGTGAGCCCCGCAGCAGGAGTCCCGGAGCGGAGCTGGCAGGGCTGTGGCGTAGAGGTCAGTGTCCCTTCTGTGCACTTTGATAGATCTGCTACCATCGGCTTTTGTTTTTAATTGCTCTTGTTTACAGCGGGGAACGCTTTCTCCATGACTCTTTCTAATGTATTATAATTGCTACTTAAAACCATTTTTACATCTGTGCTCCACCCTTGTGTTTTGTAAGAAAGTTTGGAAGGCAAAGTCCATGGTTCCTTTTTACTCTGACCCAGACAGACTGTACATAGTATTCAGTGCTGTGTTTTACATGGTTGTAATGAGAATGGTTAAAGAAGTTTAGCATAAAACTGGCTCCAGGAGGTTTCTTATATCAACAAAACCTGCCGCAGTCCCCGCTGCTCCTTGCAGCCCTCACCTTGTCGGCTCTCAGCTTGGCTGGCTGGGCTGCTTGTCCACTGCTGAGGGCAGAGGCAGGATGGGGAAAGGCTCCCTGGAGCACCCGCTCCCTGCTTGCAGCTGAGAGCATTCGCGTGGGAAAACGCTCAGGTTTTAGGGTAGGGCTTGGCGCTTCCCTTACATGAGCGAGGGCGCGCGCTTCCATGTGCGCAGGCGGCGGAGACGTTTGTCTGAAGCAGATGTCCCCGCTGGCAGCTGACTCGTCTGCGGTGCCTGCACGGCAGAAGCCTCCTGGCCACATCCTGGTGTCTCCTGGCCCTGCTTCTCAGTTCGTGGCCGCACTGAGGGGCATCACCTCAGCAGGGGAGAGTAAGCCCCTTTTGTCAGGACG